CGTCTAACGCTTCTCATCCCTGCGGCTGTAGGTTACTGGATCCAGTGGTGGAACTACCAGGGTCGCAGCGGTCGCATATGCCACTTTGGGGGGCCCAGGAAGGAAGAAGGGGCCCCGGCAGTAGCATAACAAACGGGGGGCCGATGGTGTGTCTGCCTCGGCCGCCAGACAGTGACCAGCAGGCGGGCGGGCAGAGAAAACAACCAGCCAGAAATGCAGGCAAATACTGGGGCAGCACAGGGGCCTCAGCCACGAGGACCCAGCAGCAGCCACCTGATACAGAGACCCGCTTCGATGTTTCCGGCCGCTGTCCCCCATGCTGGTATGTTATTTTACAGCCTCCTGTTCAAACTATAGAATATGGAATAGAACATGGCTGAAATTGACTGTATTCTATTCCATGTTCTATAATGGCATTGTATTACAAGCAAACTACAAGTCGGCAGTTCAGCTGGGACTTTTAGTTCCCTGAATGATAGAAGGCTGTTTCAATTACTGTCCTCATGAAAATACTAGTAATGCAATGCCATTATAAAAACAGAATATAGTTGAATTCAAAAGTTACTGTACTATAATGCAATTGTATTACTAGGATTTTCATGAGGAAAGTAATTAAAACAGCCTTCTATCATACAGGGAACTACAAGTCCCAGCATGCACTCACTGTCCCTGTACAACTCTCACATATCACGCAGGAAACTACTGCAGGGGGCTTGCATGCTGGAACTTGTAGTTCCCTGGGTCATTTATGTGGGGGGCGATGTACAAAGACCATAAGGTACTGGATCTCATTTTTTTTAAAGAGGTGGACAAAGCAGGTTAAGCCTCAGCCTAAGCAGCTGCAAGTTAGTTCTATTAGACATTCACACTGTTGTACTGTGTTCGCACATGCGTATGATTAAGCATTATGTAATGCTTTGCATTAAGGCAGCTCATTAATTTGAATGGGCTGGCTAATGCACCAATAAAGATGCATGTTCTTTTTTTTTCATACAATGCACAGTAATGCATTACAGAGTGCGTCCACTGGCAAGGTGCATAAGGGTGTCATTTGGTATGAATGGCACCACATTGCGCCAATGCACATTATCACTGCACAGTGATATGAAGCCCTTAAGATACCAATGTAACGCTGTTAATCCTTTGTCACCTGCAATGGTAATCAGAGTGTTGTACAATGGGATTTTCCTTCTGCTGGGGGCTCAATAAAATGTTTGCTATGGGGCCCTGTGATTGCTAGTTACCTGGTCCAGATCTATTTTTGGTGCAGTTCAGATCGGTGGAATGTGTCAATCAGACTACTCAGAATAAAAAAAAAAAATAGGTGTATAAATTTGTATGCACCCTTCAGGCAGTATAAGCACTTATTCTGAGCATGATGCCAGGCAACAAAGAATAACATGGGACTTATTGCTACATAAACGAACTTGAAGATCTACAAGGAACAAAAGCCATGCATGTACAGGCTTATTTAGTAACCACTGCAAGGAGCCAAGTGCAAAAGTGAAGCAACCCCTTGTAACTAATTGAAATTCAATTCACCTAAAAGGGTAAGTACACTTTTGTTTTTAATTAAGTACCCGTATTTCCCCGACTCCGCAGTAAAAATGCACATGCAAACTGTTTTACAGAAAATGAACCTTTTCAGAGAGGAGCATGTTCTGAAAATGCCATTTGCATGGCTATTATGTTGACCCATTGACTTTAGTGACCTCGAACAAGTATTCAGATCAGGAAAGGAAGAAGAACTCCTAACCCGCATGCTGGTTCCAGGTTAATGCCTCAATGTCTTGAACCCAGAGGTTCAGTATGACAGCTAGACCCTAGAATTTGCAGAAAGACATTTCAACAATGGTATGCTTCTCTCAGGAAGTCTTTTTCAAAGTTTACAATACAATACGAGGTCTGCTCAGAACCAATTGCAAAGTTTTTTACCTCTCGTGCTCACAGCAAACGATGAAACACATATATACAAGACCTGGCTGTAGAGAACAATGTCATGCACACTAGGCATGGGCAGATTTAAAGGTGGTCTACTCTAAGCCATAATTCTCTGTAATTAGGCCTTGTACATGCAAAAGATTCCACATGACACTAGGAGTGCCGTAGGAGGAAAACTCTATGCTATCCCACGGCAAGCTGCACAGTGTAAACATTTCTATACCAGAGAGGTATCTACCTCCATTTACATTTTAGCTGCCAAAAGTGTGTGTGTGTGTGTGTGTGTGTGTGTGTGTGGGTGTTTTGAGATTCTGAGTTTTTGATATAACAAAATATGGTTCTTGTTGTAACACTATACTGTAGGTATTGAACCTTGCTCTTGCTTTACTGGAGAAGCCCAACTTTCTCATCTTACAAAGCACTTCCAGTAATTCAAGTTAAGTAATTGAAGAATTTAGCTTGAGGCTTTTCTTTGCGTAAAACCTTTCTAAGGACTGTAACACAATCCATTCATTTTAAAGGCAGAATTTATGATATACCTTATAAATGGTACAAATGTTTTTGAATGAGAATTTGAGCTTTGCTCCTTGTATTGTTTTATTGAATAAACCTTTCTTATCAGGTAGCAGGTCTCATGCAGCTTATTCAATTTGCTTGTATTGTACAACTTCTAGTTACTGCAAAGTGTTCTTCAGGAAATTTTATTTTGCACAGCAGCACCCAAATGCTGCCACATAGAATACCCCTTTTAGTTTAGATCCACCATTTAGTGCATTAGAAATATTAAGGCATGTAATGTAACTCCTACCACACACTTAGCAGCCACTCGTTAGTTTCCAAGTAACTGCAGCATGTGCTTCATGGCACTGATGTCACAAGAGTTTTTGGAAAAAGACTGGCTGCTAGTAATAGCTCAGCTGCAAATAAATATCTTGCCTTATGAAAACCAGTGCTAAGAAAAATAGTTCAACTGCCCATGCCAACCAATAAGCTTTCACCTTTTATCCTCAGGCATGCACTGGTAAAATTAAATATAGAATCTTGGTTGGTTCCAATATATTGGCCTACATTTTATGAGGTTTTAGTCATATAACTACAAGTTTGATACATTGAAACTAATATGATTTCCCTATAAGATATGACAAATATACTATAGTTTCGGTAATTTCTTCCAAATTATTGCCCTTAAGCTGAATAATCATTTGCATAATACTATAAATAAGGCACGCTTTAATTTAAAATAGTCATATACCAATAGTATGCAATCTACTAATAATTTTCCTTATGGGAGAGGGGCTCAGACACCATTGCCCCCTACAAGCCAGAAAAAAAAAAACCTTTCAATAATTTTCCACCATTCCATGCCCTAAAGTACAGTCTATATTGTCATATACCACATCCTGTAAAAATGTGTATAAATTAGCAAAGAGGCAGGGCGATTCCTTTCATAATGTGTGTGTAAAGCAAAAGGAAAAAGGTGGTCTTTGGTAGCACTACGGTAGATAAAGTATATTTCCACTTTTGCAGCCAAATTGGGATAACACCTATTTTATATTTGTTACATGTTCCAATTCACATAGCATAAGCAAAAAAAAAATGTATAACATGCTTCTTGCAGTTTGAATTGCTTTTATTTGGGTTAGGGTTTCTTGGCTTCTTAAGAGTTAAATTTTTACTTGGTTTTCCTTCTTTGTAATGTTAGGAGGGATTGTGAGAGTTGGAGTTAAAAGCAGGGGGAGCCAAACTCCGGCCCTCCAGCTGTGGTGGAACTACAAATCCCATGAGGCATTGCAAGATTCTCACAGCCATAGACATGACTCACAGAGAGCAATGCATCATGGGATTTGTAGTTTCACCACAGCTGGAGGGCCGGAGTTTGGCTACCCCTGAGTTAAAGGATTAAAAGCCTGGCTTCTCCATTTGTATGCTTAGTGAATGGGAGAAACACATCCATGCATGTCAGTCCTAAGTCTTTCTATAATGACAGATCACTGTGAAGGTGCTCAGAAAAACCTGCAATCAGCCAGGTTTTTAAAAATAATTTTTCAGTATAATGCATGACTAGAAGACATACAAACATATAGAGGAATTTTCTCCAATTAGACTGCAAAAGTGGGAATACACTTTCAGTTCCTCCTCCCTTTGACAGTAGTTAGCAAATCTACATAACGGTGAATCAATGGTTGCAGTGGTTGACAATGTACATATACATTACATATAGGTGAGACTGGTTGTTCCTTTACTGAATTTAATTTATAGTGCATTGTGGCTTACTCAATAAAGGAACCAAACAAATACAGCAACCCACAAGAACCAATCCAAACTTTTTTTAGGTAAACTGAAAACCAGTTTGTTTCAAATGGGTATTCATTCTAATTTATTGAATAAGCAACCTATTCTGGAGAATTTTTGCCAGTCACAGAACAGACGTAGTGAACACTGATGGGAGTAGTTCTGAACATGTACTTCTGTCTTCTATTCAGTGTTCAACCCGAATTTCTGTCCACCCTTATGAATGCACCAGTTGAAGCTGAAGTACCAACTACTGCACCATTTGAATGACCTGTAGTCAAACTGATGGAAGTTAAATTACCCAAATGTATACACATTTCGACTATCTGTAGGAGGAAGCTCACACATAGATGTCTCAATGTTTGCTTCCCCTTACAGCCATTACTTATGAGACCATTGATTGTCAGCTATAAAATACACTTTTGGAATGCCCAAGACAGAAGACTTAAACAGGCCTGCAGAATCCACAAAAATAAATAGTAAAGTACAAAATATTCACATCTAAAAAGAATTAGCAGGATTAAAAGGTCCACTAAAAGTCAACTTCATGTACTAACATAGGAAAACAGATGCCAAAGTTGAAATGTTGTCAATAGCTACTGATCACGTTTGGCTTTCCGAAGGAAACATGGAATATCCAATTCTGCTCCAATTTCTTCTTTCTCGATTTTTATAAATATATCCCAATATCTGGACAGACATGGCAATATGACAGTATGTGTTAAATTGTTTTAGAGTGTGTAAGAGTCAGGCAGCTTTGGCTAGTCAAGCATTTATATCAATGTTGAAGAGGTGATAGATCTGCAGGTATCCCTATCCATTCAGGGAGGAATGCTGCATCATAATGGAAAAGTTTTAAGAATTCTGACTCCGGTAATGTAAAGTTTGTGAGGTATATTGTTTCTCCTCCTACTAGATAACTTGCCCAAAAACCAAATGTTCCAATTGTCATGATTGTATGGTTACAACCAACCAGAAGAGCAAAATCTTTGCCAGGAGTTGATTCATTACCATCGCCTGAGAAGTAGACATCTCCTTTGGAATTGTCAATGTTTTCTTTACACCAATCCATCCCATTGCTGGCCACCACAAACACAGGTTCTTCATATTTGTTACGGAAATAATTCATGGCTTTCTCCAAATAACCTCTGTCTGCAATGACACCCTTCCAAACATTTGGCATGACACTCACATAGTCACCTCTTCGGATGTGGATTCCAATGTAGGTGGCATTCTTTCTGGAACCCTTTATCGTCTCCAAGACTTGATTTGCTTCATTTTTAAGGTAGTCATGGATTTCAAATTCCCTTCGGATTTCATCCCGAAGCTGGTGAAAAAAGGTCCACGAGCAAGGGTAGCCTGTAAGTTTTATAAAACTACCTTCAATATGATTATATTCTTCAGACATCCAGTCATGTACCCAGTATTCTTCAAATGGAACACGAAAAGCAACGTTATTATGCAAAACTGGCAGGGTGATCTTAAATATAGGAGCTAAATAGTTATGCATATCCGTAAGGATGAAGGCTTGGCGTTTGTTCGCTCTGGCCAGGGCATACAAGGTAGCATATTCCCCCATATGATTACCTAATCTACCATCAGGTTTAACTGTCCATATTCCACTAGTTTTGCACTTGGTTACAATATCATTAGTGTCTGAATCTTGCTGATCATGGTTTGACTTGGCAGGCTTGTTGTCTTTCTCAGGACAGATTATAGATATAGGCAGATTAGCAGAAAAGCTTAAAAACTGTATGTGAACCTGCAGTCGGTACAGTATAGAAAACACTATGATTGACACAAAGATACATCCCAGCAGAAGAATTTTCTTTTTCTTGTTGGGTAACTCCATCTTCATTTGGTTACGGTCCTGTACCTTGGACGGTAAGAGAGGCTCATCCATAAAAAATCTAATTCCTTTTAGAAAACAGAAACAAAAAAGAGTGAATATGTCATGTTGCATCAAAATAAAAATAAAAAAACGTAACTTTTCTTAGAACAAAGAACAAATAACTAACTATCTCTTTT